GGGGGAAGGAATGAATTTTTGGCGATACAGATGAATAAAAAGCGTCATAAAAAATAGACCTTTTAGCGACACAAAGCAGGACGTTGTGAAAAAGAAACTTTTAGCGACGCTAACCTAACATGTCGCGATAAATGCACACTATTACGATGCCAACCCTAAAGCATCGCTAAAAATATATATTTTTACTGACGAAAATGAAAAACATCATGAAATCCATACACTTTTAACGACGCTAAGTTAAAACGTCACAAATAATATACACTTTTAGCGATGCTAATTATAAATGCGGGGAAAAATATATGTTTTGCCGACGCTAACTAAAATCGTCAGAAAAAACATAATTTTTAGCGACATATTTAACCATGCGTCGGGAATAACCGTTGGGAAAATTACAATTTGTTGTAGTGATATATAAAAAGTCTATTCATATCTTGCATGGATCCCTAAGTATCATCAATGAATAGAAAGTTTGGTGGATGGTCCACTTAAGTTGACATAAGAATTTCTCTCTCTCTCTCTCTCTCTCTATATATATATATATATATATATATATATATATATATATATATATATATATATACTATTACTAATATTTCAGTTACAGGTCAGGAAGATCAATGGAAATGGTTGCCTACTGGAAATGGGGTTTTCTCCTTTTCTTCAGCTTGGAATCAAGTACGGACCTCCTATACTATATTTGAGCTTTACAATGTGGTATGTTTTCCTTCCTCAAATCCTAGGATGTCTTGTTGCTTGCTTAAAAGTTTATATAACAGGCTGGCTACAAGAGACAGACTGCTCAAATTTGGGATATCTTCAAATGAAGTTTGTGCACTCTGTAATGTCGCGAAGGAGTCTAGGGATCATCTATTTTTCCAATGCCATTTTTCAGCATTTATCTGGAAGCTTTGTAAACTGAAACTGCAGCTGAATGCTACTGATGCTAAGGACCTGAAAACAGAAGCTCTGGAAATCCAACAAAAGTTCAAGTTGAAAGATAAAACTTATATATTAGCTAGATTGGCTTTGAATACAACTGTTTGGCATGTTTGGCAAGAAAGGAATAGAAGGATCTTCCATGATCAAAAGATGCACAAGATAATGGTGTTTAGGAGAATATATGAAGACATCAATATTTTACTTAAAACATGCAACTGGAAGGTTGGAAATTCTGATATTCTAACAAATTGGGGTTATGATAAAATGTGAAGATAGTGTTTCTTTCGAGAGCTTGGTGTTATTTTTCTGTAATTGATGGTACTATTTTAATTATTGGCTTTGGGTCAATCTGGAATCTTTCTAAGTTTCCTATAGTTGAGGGTGACGGCCAGGGTCCTCTCCCCTCTCTATAGTTTATCTTAGTTTATATACCCAGAGTAGCCTAGCCAAGGTTGTAACTTATGTACTAGTGTTTTGGTATTAATGGAAATTTATTTTCTCCTAATTATGACAAAACCCTAAAAATAAAAACGTAGACTAAATATTAAATTTGTTTTCTCTCTAAAAGATTATTGAATTTGTTTTGTAGGCCTTATATAGGATCGACCTGCTTTATAGCCCATTAAGATACTCTCAAGTCCAATTTAGAGGCTGTACAATAGAAAAGAAGGAACCTGGTCAAATGATCCAAGCTCCATCTAATTTGTTGTCTAAGGACCAACGAATTGCAAATGGCCTTTTTTTTTGAAGACATACAATGGATCAGAGGGCTTTAAATGTCCGCCTAGTTTGGGCTTGGGTCTTTAGATATTAGCGTACATTTTTTCTTATGGGCTTCCAGTATTCAAGCTTTTGGGCCGGCTCCATCTTCAATACGTAGATAAGGGTTAGCTAGGGAAAAGTATAAGTGCATCTGATTCCATGTAATTAAATGAGCATAAAAAAGATGTCAACAATAAATCATTAGATTTGGAGATTCATGCCTAGATCCAACTACTAATATACTTTAGGTACATATTTAATGCAACGAGTCATCCCTATTGGATACTTTCTCGTTAGCTAGGACACATTTGTTTGCACGGAAATAGCTATGAAGTAGCTAAAATAGAGAAAGACTGTTTTTGCTACTTCCAAGCAATATTTTTTTCTTTGGAAAGACTACATGTCCTACTTCCTAAAATAATGATATGGAGCCTAAGTGATTCCCCTATTTTCTAATTTCTTTTTCTGACATTGATGGGTCAGAAGTAGACGAAGATGTTGGTCTTGAGAGTGGAGAACCAAACCTAGAATCAAAATCAACAATCGTATGAAAATTCAAGACAGGCCATGGGTGTGGTGTCTGCCACACCCTGGTGTGGCAGAGTCTGCCCTGTCTGCCATGGGTGTGGTGTCTGTCACACCCTGGTATGGCAGAGTCTGCCCTGTCTGCCATGGGTGTGATGTCTGCCACACCAGGGTGTGACAGACTCGTTTTAGAATCCTAATCTGTTTGGGATTGTGTTTTATTATAAATAGAAACACGTCTCTTTAGGGTTTAAGAGAGAAAAAGAGCACGAAAAAAGGGTTTTGAGGGCTCTTTGAGATTAGAAATCTTAGAGAGAGAGAGAGAGGGGCCAATTGCAAGCATTGTAATTTTCTTCAAGTAATCAAAGAATTGTGTGGTGTGGCTCCCAAGGACGTAGGCAGGTTGCCGAACCTCGTTAAATCTGGTATGTTCTTTCTTGTTTACTTTCTTACAAGTTTTTATTTTTGATTTGTGGTGAATTTCTTTCTTGCTCAACTCTCAAACACAAGATCCGGAAGGGTACAAATTTGATTTGATTATTTCGAATCCCCAACAACTGGTATCAGAGCTTCGTTCAGCAAATTTGTGAGAAAGAGAGCAATGGCAGAGGAAATCAAATCTAAGATTGAGAAGTTTGACGGTTCAGACTTCGCCTACTGGAAGTCACAGATGGAGGACTATCTGTACCAGAAGACTTGTATCGTCCGTTGATGGGCAAGGAAAAGGGACAGAAGAAGGAGGAGTCAGATGGTGATTGGGAGATACTAGATAGGAAGGCTCTAGGGTAAATCCGGTTGTCGCTCGCCAAATCAATAGCCCACAATATTTTGAAGGAGAAAATGACGGTGGAGCTTATGGAAGTGCTCGCGAAGATGTACGAGCAACCGTCGGTAGCAAACAATGTGCATCTCGTCAAAACTCTCTTCAACCTCAAGATGGCAGAAGGACAGTCCTTCACGATGCACCTCAGTGAGTTCAACACGATTATTGATCAGCTTATCTCCGTAGACATCACGTTCGATGATGAAGTGCAAGCCCTTCTACTACTATCGCAGTTACCGATAGTTGGGCAGGTTATGTGACGGCAATTAGCAATTCGATAGGGAAGGAAAAGTTGAAGCTGAGTGAGGTGGTTAGTATGATTCTATCCGAGGAGGTTAGAAGGAAATCGTCCGAATCAGAAGGTTCAGGTTCAGCTCTAAGTTTTGAGCAGAGAGGTAGAAGCCAGAAGCCAGAAGAAAGAAAACCAGAACAGGAATCGGTCAAAATCAGTAAAGAAGAGGTCGAACTCGAAGGTTAGGCCTATCAAAGGGAAGTGTTGGAATTGCGGCCAAAAGGGTCATATGTCTTCAGTCTGCAAGAGTCCAAAGAAGGATGCGGGTGAGCAGGAGGCTCATATCATGCAGGATACCTTGATCCTTTCTATGGATAGCGACTCGGATTCTTGGGTCATTGATTCAGGAACATCTTTCCACGTCACTGCTAACAGAAAGCTTCTCCAGAACTATGTAGCAGGGGACTTTGGAAAAGTATATTTGGGGAATAACGAGCCCTGTAATATTGTTGGAAATGGTGAAGTGTAAATTCAGATGAAGGGCTCTAAGTGGACCTTAAAGAACGTGAGACACGTGCTGAAGCTGAAGAGAAATCTTGTTTCGGTGGGATAGCTTGGAGCAGAAGGCTATGTTTCTACATTCACAGGGGATTCGTGGAAAATCTCTAACGGTACTATGATAGTTGCTCGAGGGAACAAACTAGGAACTCTTTACCACACCTTATATGCGAGTGACACCCTCGCAATTGCAGCTGGCAAAGAGAGTACAGATCTGTGGCACAACAGGCTAGGGCACATGAGCGAGAAGGGAATGAAGATCTTACATTCACAGGGAAAGATAACCGGGATCGACTCCGTGAAAGTCGGGGTTTGTGAAGATTGCATCTTTGGGAAGCAGAAGAGGGTTAGTTTCCAGAAGGGTGGAAGGACACCTAAGGCTCAGAAGCTAGAGTTGATTCATACAGATGTATGAGGCCCAGCCAGTGTATCATCTTTTGGCGGTTCGAGATATTATGTCACCTTCATCGACGATCACTCGAGGAAGGTGTAGATCTACTTCATGAAGCACAAGTCAGAGGTGTTTGGAATCTTCAAGAAGTGGAAGGCCATGGTGGAGAATGAGACAGATCTGAAGGTGAAATGTCTGGGATCAAACAATGATGGAGAATACGAGCTGGAGGAGTTCAAGAGGTTCTGTACTATGAATGGTATTCACTTAGAGAGGACTACTCCAGGGATACCGCAGTAGAACGATATTGCAGAGAGAATGAACAGAACCTTGACAGATCGTGCCAGGAGCATGCGATTATATGTAGGTCTGCCTAAGACATTTTTGGCGGATACGGTGCATATGACGGCTTACCTTATTAATCACTGGCCATCAGTTTCATTAGATTTTGGGATTCCAGAGGAGGTTTGGAGTGGAAAGAAGATAAATATCTTACACTTGTGGGTATTTGGTTGCGTGATTTATGTTCATGTCAGTGACCATGCCAGAGACAAGCTATAAGCTAAGTCACAGAAGTGCACATTCATTGGATACGATATTGATGAGTTCGGGTATCGCCTTTGGGATGAGAAGAACATGAAGATCATCAGAAGCAGAGACGTGATATTTAATGAGGAGGTGATGTACAAGAATAGGGAAGATGCCAAGGATAGCCAAAGCAGTGGGAGCAGCATTTCAGATACAGATGGATCTAAGTACATGGATATAGAGAAACTTCCAGATAGGGGTGATGATGTTTGTTCTGATCATAGAATGGAGGAGGCTCCAGGTGCAGAAGAAACTACTCAGGGCATGGAGCTTAGGAGGTCATCCAGGGTACCCAAACCAAATCCTAGATATCTTTTGACTACTTATTGTTGACAGATAGCGGTGAGCCGGAGTGCTACGAAGAGGTAATGTAAGCGAGTGAATCTCAGCAGTGGGAGCATGCGATGCAGGAGGAGATTGATTCTCTACTCACTAATGAGACATGGGAGTTATCCCAGCTACCTGCACAGAAGAAGGCCTTACATAACAAATGGGTCTATCGGGTCAAGCAAGAGAGTGATGGAAGAAAGAGATTCAAAGCCAGATTAGTAGTGAAGGGGTTTCAACAGCAGGAAAGTGACTTGGATGAAGAAATCTACATGAAGCAGCCTGTTGGCTTCATTGAAGAAGGAAAGGAAGAGATGGTGTGCAAGCTCAAGAAGAGCTTATATGGTTTGAAACAGGCTCCGAGACAGTGGTATAAGAAGTTTGATAACTTCATGCAGAACAATGGCTATAGAAGATGCAATTTGGATCATTACTATTATTTCAAAAGGTTCGAGTCCAGCTTCATTATCTTGTTATTATATGTTGATAACATGTTGGTAGCAGGACCGTGTTTAGAAGATATAAAAAGTTTGAAGAAGCAGCTAGCAAAGGAGTTTGTAATGAAGGATCTGGGTGCAGCGAAGCAGATTCTAGGGATGCGAATCAGTAGGGATGAAGCTGGAGGGAAATTAAGATTGAGCCAAGCTGAATACATTAAGAAGGTACTTCAAAGGTTCAACATGCAGAATGCTAAAGTTGTTAGCACACCCCTTGGAAGTCAGTTCAAACTATCTGAGGAGCAATCACCTAAGACAGATGTAGATAGAAAGCATATGAGCAGGGTGTCATATTCTTTAGCCATTGGGAGTCTCATGTACGTGATGGTTTGTACGAGGCCGGACATCGCCCATGCAGTGAGAGTTATGAGCAGGTTTGCTAGTAATCCAGGGAAGCAGCATTGGGAGGCCATGAAGTGGATATTACGGTACTTGAGGGGAACAACAAATAAACCACTATGTTTCACGAGGAAGGAGTTGGTACTGTAGAGATACGTTGATACGGACTTCGCCGGTGATCATGATACGAGGAGAAGCACCACGGGGTATGTTTATACCTTAGCGTCG